AGAGAGAGAGAGAGAGAGAGAGAGAGAGAGAGAGAGAGAGAGAGAGAGAGAGAGAGAGAGAGAGAGAGAGAGAGAGAGAGAGGACAGCATGGTGACAAAAATGTACAAGGAGAAATGGAAAGGGCAAAAGTGACCAATATGATGTGGTCAGCCTGTCTGTGTGAATTCTTGCAGAATGAAAAAGAACACGTATTCAGACGATATATCTGGCAGCACGCATACGCACACAAACTTTTATCTGGGCAGTTTTTCGAAAAGAGATTCGACCCCAGTTAGGGATCACCCTCGATGTATCTGATTGCAATTACGCCTGGTGATTGGTCGCAAAAGTCTGATTGCGAGTATGCCTCGAGGAGGCACACCGCTTAACACCGAAGCCGTCGCACTTTAAACATGGCCTCCGTGCATGTGAAGAAAATTCATAGAAATACGATTACCAAAAGTAGTCCTTGTGGACATCTGTGAACATTGGACCTATACAGAGAAGATTAGCGTGGCCCCTGCGCAAGGATGACATTCATAAAAAGGGGACAAAAAAAAAGAATTACAGAAAGCAGGATATGCCCGACACGAGGGGGAAAAAAGAAAAAAGAGAAAAGAAAAAAGAAAAAAGAAAAAAGAAAAAAGAAAAAAGGAAAGGATATGCCTGACATCATGTCCTCTTTTCCCCCCCCTCTCCTGATATGAATCATAAAAAGACTCCTTTTGTGGGATGCACATTGCACAGCTAAAAAAAAGTTGAAAAAAAAATTCGGACTTACTTCTTTTGGTGACAGCACTTTGCGGTGCGCTGGGCAACTTGACCACGCGAGTCATTATCGCCTGTGGATTATTCAACGTCAAGTATTCTTCGCGTAACTCCTCCAGCCGCTTAGAAACCTGCATCATCCAATGGATGCCATAACAAGCCAGAATTTGTCATTCATAATTTCGAACATCCTCACATCCAGTGGCTTCTTTTTTTAGCTGCGAAGCGAACATCCGTCAGTTGTGCCGAAATCTGAAACGAACCACCATGTGGGCTATAGCTCCGCCAGCACAGGAACACCGAAGAACGGTTGAAGCACAGACCCAAGTCGATGCATATGACCATAATCACATGGGAGTTGTGGTTGTGCAGCCACACTTTGAGGGGTACATTTTCGAAGGTCGGCTTTTGTGAAGCGGCGGACCCGAAAATGACCCCTGTGGCAGAAAACTACGAGAACGAGTACCGTGGTAGAAGGCTTCAAACTTCAAAGGTTTGGTTTGGCTTCAGGGTTGTAATAAGGTCAATCAGGTGGTTCACCAATTAGCTGTCGATGAGTTCGAATTTCGAATCCGGATGCAATCAGAGATGAAAAGAACGAAGAACTTCGAATCCAGATGCGATCAGAGATGAAAAGAATGAAGTTCAAGTTGTTCGACCAACTAAGTCTGGACTCTGGATAACATGTGGCAAGCCAATTCAGTGAATTCACTGATGATATCGCAAGGAGCCAAGGACGTTGCCCTTTTGCTAGGAGGAAGAAAAGGTCACACTCAATATCTTTCAGTCTTCCAATCAGAGGCACACCGTCCTTTCTTTTTCTTTTTCCAAAGCTCCGATCTATTCGTGGGGAGCAGCATGTGCTGTCCTGTACATACCTTACATACCCTACCGGGCCTACCCTCCAGGCTTGGTGACCTTTTTTTTTTTTTTTTTACAAGTCAAATTTCAAAACCATGTTACCGGGACGGACTTCCGTGACGCCCCTGACCATCCGGGGTTGTCCGGTTGGACAACCGGTCGGACACTCTCCCGCGGCAGTCTGTCTGAGCCGGAACACCATTAAAAAAAA